GATGAATACTGCACCCAATATTAAATCTAAATTACAGTTAGATTGTTTATTCCTATAGTACTAAACGTTAAAAATACTGTAAATAAAACCAACATTTTTATTTGTCTACTTCCGTTTCATTTGGGGTGAAATGTCTCTTGAATAGCATCCACACACTAATGCTTTGAAAGTTTACATTCACAAACACACTTGGTCAATCTTTAAACAGTGTCAGTCGTTGAAGGTCACCGACTCTAACTTCCTCCAGCACTGTTGCTGCCCAACTGTAGGCAGGGGCGTACATTTTGTCTAACAGTTGGGGGGGGGACAATAAACATAAAATTTCTCAAGAGCAATTTTTGAAGGGGACACAAATAATCCAGCTAAAATTTTACTTGTAAAGATATGTATACACAGAGGAAAGCCTTACTACTATTAGTGTTGCAGGGAGACCGTGCCAAATTAGACAACTTCAAGCTGTTGTGGTCGCGCCGTGACAGCGCTCGTGTACGTTGTAGACATTACCGTCACAGTGTTGCCAAGTCCGCGGTTTTCACGTGGAATTGGGCTACTTTATCACTGTTGCCGCGGGTTGTTTTTAATGACCGCGGGTTGAAGCGACCCCAAATAACGTGTATTTTATCCCCCGCAACGCGATTTTTACCGGGGAAAAAAAATAACGCGGTTATTTGGGCTAGTTTTGAGTAGCCATTGGGCGGATTTTGTTGTAAAAAACCTGGCAACCCTTTCCGTCAAGCAGGTAACGTTATTATTGCCAACATAGCAGACTCATCGAAAAAATACATTGGCATCATGTATTAAAGAGAAAATAATCACTTCATCCGGTGTTTAACTGAATAAAATAGCCTTGACAGCCTTATCACTGGAGTTCCACAATTATTCTCTCTCACCGGACTTGTTGTAACCTTTTGTGCGTTATGGAAGAAAGAAACACACGATGCAGGTCACCATCAACGAATGTATTAGTGTTAAAGGAAGGTGCAACAAAACGATAGATAGTACAATGTGTTTTTCCCAGCATATATACACGAGTGCAGGAGCAGAGGAAACCCGGGATCAGGTCTTAAAGGGACAAACACCCAGACCATTACATTGTTTGTTTGTTTGTGTGTGTGTGTGTGTTTGTGTGTGTGTGTTTGTGTGTGTGCGTGTAAGTGTAGGTGATGTACAAGAGGAAAGCAGGCACTGTGAGGCAAGGGAGGGGGAGACTCAAAATGTTTCTAAATTTAAAACGCATTTTTGCCCCGTTTGTGTTGTTTTACTACTTACACAATTATTTAAAGTATAAAACATGGTTATTTAATCATACATGTAATCAACGTGGTTTTTAATCATAATTTTAGGGGGGGAAACCCAGTGGCAAAAACTGGGTATGCAGTATATGCAGTGCATAGGGGCGCCACACATAGGGGGGGGCGACATTTTGAGATTCTGCAATTCGAGAATGAATCCATATTTAAATGCATAAAATAACTCATTTTACATTCTTACATTCTATTATTTTCCTTCGTACAGAGCTCGATTTAGGTATGACAAAAGTGCTGCAATGAATTCATTTTGACAACTAATAGAATGTTAAACATTGACTGATAACGTTTTCAGAGTTCATTGATTATATAAAATTCAGTGAAGGTTGACTAGGCTATATACTATTATCTGCATGTCTCATCCATGAGTGGGCCTATGCAATGATGGAGCCACTAGCCACTTTTCACTGAAAATTGCCGTTGTAAATTAAAAATAGGCCATCTGTGTAATTCAAGTAGATTCAATGATTTGAATACTCTTGCTACTTCATACTTCAATACAAAACAATGCTGAACTTTGACAAAAAAAAAAAAAGAGATTTTTAAACGTTATAGTGATTTTATAATGTCTAAATATAAATCCATTAGCAAAACATGTGAAAAGAAATATATTACAGAGTGGAAATGGTAAAGGAGACAATAAATGATCCTCTGCTGCCATAGTGGTCATAGTGGGGAATCATGACATTCATTTTAATAGTATTTGTTTTTCTACCAGGTAAAATCTTGCCAGAAATCTTCCACTTAGCATGGCAAATTTTCCATGAATTATCTCTACAAGTAAAAATAAAAAAAAAAAATTCAGATGTTCTTTAAAAAAAAATTATATATATATATACACACGTATATTCAAATTACCTAACTAAAAAGTGAGCAATATTACGTCTTTGAAAATAAAAAAAATAAAAAAATGTGTTCCACTGTCTGGGGTCTGCCATCAGGAGTTAAAGGGGATGTTATGAGACACTTTTCTTTCTTGTTTTTACTTTTCACTTTTTTCCTTATATTAAAAGGGGGGAAAGGGGTTCAAACCTTTGTCACTTTTTTCACTTCTGATGAGTTTGTATCCTTCCATGCACAAGCTAGTAATGGGCTTTTGGTCATTGACTTGCAGAAAGTTTTCTGCGTGAGTTAAGTGTTAGAGGCTACTAGAATTCAGGGGGTCGCCGACACTGATCTTGCATACCCCTCAGCAAATATGCAGTTGCACACCTAGGGAAACCCTCAGATAGCAGGGATCCTGTCCCCTCCAGGATTTCCGCCTATGCCTGTAGGTCAACAGTCAATGTACACAACAGAATATAGGTCACGCGTTAACCATGCTCTACTTTCTCAAGATCAGTTTGCCCCCATTCACACCATGAGCATCAGCATGTATTAGCGCTAAAACCAAGGACAACGGGATATCTATCTGACAATCCCAGCCTCTGATATGATACGTTAAGGCCCTATTGCCATTGTCACGGGAGGAGCAAACGACAGACACAGTGGGTGTGGCGTCAGGCCTCGGAGAGGCGTTTATTTCCAACTAATAAAATAGTGTCCAGATAAGGGAATAAAGTGCCCAAAATAAACAGGGGATCTGGTGTCCTCGTCGTGCTGCCGGGTTAGTGAAGGTGGGGCAGTGTTCAGGAAGGAAGGGTCCAGGTAAGGGGCGGAGTCCGGAGGCGCGCTCGGCATTTAAACAGCGGCGGTGATGAGGCTCCATTCGGTTCAGGTGTGCCCCATCACACGCCGCCAGCCCTGGCTATTTCAGCGCCCCTCCTCTCCCACGCACCCACTCCCGTCGGGAGCCTGGCGAAGGGCGGCGATTAAGGGACGGGGTGATGATGATAAATAGGGGGAGGCAGCCGACTCGTCACACCATGTACGCAGCATTTGTAGCAGATCAGTTCACTAAAGTGTTATTTTGTTGTGCGTTTTTTTATTGTTTTGTTTTATGCCTAAATAGTTTTTATTCATTTTTATTTCAGTTTTGGTGTTACTTATTTTAGTACATCAAGTCAAACTAAATGAGAAATGTTGACTTGGCAACTGTCTGAAATTTTCTTAAAAACATATATATATATATATATATATTTTTTTTTTTTTTTTTTTTA